GAAGGCAAAAGGAGAAGGGGACGGCAGAGGATGAGATGGTTAGATAGCATCACTGAAGCAATGAGCATGAAACTGAGAAAACTCCGGGAGGCAGTGAAGGCCTGGAAGGCCTGGCACGATATGGTTCATGTGGTCACGAAGAGTTGGACACGACTTAATGACTGAACAACAATTTTAAATTGATTTACTGCAAATTTCCTATGTAATCTAGTTCTTCTGTCACAAATCCCACCATGGGATATTGCAAAAGCACAGGGAAATGTTTCATAAAAACATATATGCATTTTCTCTTCTGTGTGGCTGCTCTCAGCAGAATATGAAGAACTTAATATGTTTTGCTTAGATTTTTTTTTAGGCATAACATAGTACAGCAATTAAGATTTTCAAAACATTCTAAATCAGAAAGCCCTTGGACTGGACTAAAAAGTAATATTTGCTTGCTTGCTTGTTTAGATGGATTTATATTATGAATTGCTTTTGTTAGGAGTCCAAGTATAAATGCTTTTTGATTATTGGGGCTTTGTGTACCATGAATGAAGTTTGAGTTTTTTGAAAGCAAACAAGCGTTTTAAGCACCTGGCTGCACATTGTGCCTGGGGCCACAATACTGATTTTACTGGATTGAATGAACAGCTGGATTAGAGAAAGGAATGGAGAGATGCTGAAGAGATTGGAGAAAGATATTATGATCTATCTGCTAGTGGGAGATAATGGTGAATTTGTACTGGCATCTGACAGAGCCCTTCCTTAGTTGGAGTTATTCCTTTAGGTTTCATTTTGCTTAAATTAAATATTAAAAAATATTAAAGAGTGGGTAGGACTCTGATGGATCCCAAGAAAGATCTCTATGTATTGGTGTCCAAGTGTGCCACATTGGAGATTACAGACCTAAAGCATTTAATTAAGTTTAAAAGACACGTAACAATATATGCAATGAAATGTTTACCAAGCTGTGATTGTAAGCCAAAATAGGCATACCAGTATCTTGGTTCCTGAGTACTTGAAAAAGATCAGTCAATTAATTTGGTTTCAATTTTCTGGGATTTTGATTCTAATTTCTTATCTCTAAGCACTATATTTAAATGCTATTTAGATAATTTAACATCTGGGGAAAACTTTTACTTTCAAAAAGGAGCCAATTTTGTCCTTGAAAAATGCAGAATTTCTTGTTTACAGAGTTACGTCTGATGGGCAAAGGTTTGTTTCCAGTATCCATCATCAAGTGAGATCAGGCAAGGGGGTGGCTGTTAGAGAAAAGGCAGTTTTAGTAATGGACTCCAGCAATCCAACACTCTCCAGAGCAGTTTGTTCCCTTGGCATCTTTATTACTGCACAAGCAACTACTTTTCAAATAAGACTTTTAAAAAATAATACATTAATTATTAGGTGCCCTGAACACCTGGTCGCTGATATTTGAATGGACAAATGCCCCTCATCTTAACCTGTTCTTGGCTATAATCTGAAGCTCTTTCATGAACATTCCAGTGGTCTCCTTGATCCATCTGTCTGACTCATTGTCTGTTTTTCTCCCTTTCCCCAAACTTGCTAAGCATAGCCATTTTTTCTGGTCCATCATTTACTCATATCACATGACCAAAGTATGTGAATTTCTGCTTGCTCATCATCACCTCAGCATTTATTTTATCCAAGACTTACTGGTTCTTCAAGAAGTCCACATTACTCTCAGTAATTAACTCCGAATTCATTATTTGAAGGGTTTTTTTTCTCTTTTTCAGTATGTATACTTTCCCAGTTGTCAATTATAACTATTGTTTTAGTGTTGATATAGCAATCATCTTTTCCTCCACAGTCTTGTTTAGATTTGTTACTGCCTTCCTCCTCATTATCTCTTTACTTCTATATTTATATTTTTCCAGCCTAAAAAGATGTTGCATTTAGCACTTTTTGCAATTTGCTATAAAACTATTAAATGTGTTCCACCATTACGGCTACAGCAGAGGCTCGGACTTGTAGAAGTGATATAATTTTTTCATGAGGGGACAGTTACAGCCTAGCACTTATATCGTAATATCCTTTTGTAATACCATTGTCTGCCCATGTCTTCCTAGCATTCATTTAATATTTTGCTCCTTATTTTACCAAACTGAAAATATAGGGTTGGGATGAACTTGTTTCTGTTTGTGAGTAGCTTTTTTACTCTAGTCCAACAATGTGGCATCTACAAACCTAATGCCTGTGAAGGAAATGCTATGGAATCAGGCTTGAGTAATCAGAGCCATCTTTGTTCTTTACTCAGAGAAAGCCACTTAATAGGCTGCTTCTCACATTACATATTCATACCTCTTCAGATATAAGCCTGGCTGGAGAATAATACAATTTTGTCTCTAAAGAAAAAATGATCTGAAAACTGTCCCTAAGGTAACAACCATACTGCTGAAAACAAATGGAAGTCCTTAAGTCTACAACAATATAACTATTTGTTGTTCCTTTTTGAAAATAATAAATAATCTTTAAGTCCTCCCCAACATTTAACATTAAAGATAATAAACTATGTAAAAAAAAAAAAAAACCACACACACACACATAAATAGTACCATAGATGGCCTCAATTACAAAAGGATTTTTCAAAGTTTTAGGTACATGAGACATTGTTTCCTAATTTGCCAGTTGTTGCTTTGCTCTATCAAATAAAACATGGATTTTTAATTTTTTGCTACTTTAAAATATTTTAAGCCAGAGAGACTAAGAGAAACAGGTTAAATCCAAAACCTATAATAAAAAAAAAAGACCGGTCAAAATCAAGAAGGTCTAAGGGATACAATTTGTTATAAATTTATTTCATCTTCAGAATTTCAGCTTGCACCTTTGCTCCAGCACTTTTTAAAATAGAACATTTCACCTATGGCAACATCTGCCAAGTTTACATTGAGTCCCAGTCAATGTTCTTAAAAGAGGCTTAGATTAATACCATTAAACCATGTTGTGTTCAGTGTTATATATGACTAGTTTAATTTTGAATCCCCCAACCCACCCTGATTTAGCAGTGTCAAGTTTTTACAAAGCTCTTCAGTTCACAACATCAGTATGAAAGACCCATATGTACAAACTGTGACCTGATAATCCCAAAATAGTAAGTCAGATAGGATTTTTCTCTTTCTCTCTCTCCCAGTTGTGTTGGGGGCTGGGGCTGGGGGTGAAAACAATAAACCCACAAAGTCTACCAAATATTTAAATGGCAGGAAGAAAAATATATAAGCTTATAATTAATACATTTTTGCCAATGTCAACAAGTTGTAAATTCATGTTTGCAAATATCACAAAAGACTCATGAACAACAACTCAGTTTTATACTGTAAGTAACGCTGGATCAATGGTTTAGGATTATCAATCACTGTTGTCATATGCTGTCTATAACAGTTCAAAAGCATCCTGGAGAAAAATCCTGAAAAACACATACCTTACGGTATATAATAATGCACCTGCATTAGCTAAATATATACTGTACACAAGTCTTATCAGCATTTTATCTACCAAAGATGTGAGATTCCACTTTTAAATACAAAGCAGATAGCCAGTAATGTATACTTATAATACAGCCCTCTTTTTTCCTTTGTTTTCAAACCTTGAACAATTTGGTCACAATGCACCTTTGATATAAAATAATTTTAAATTTTATTATTAATACTCAGGACATTAGGATTGCCAGAATTGGGGTATTCTTCTTTCAACAGCATCTTGAGAACCATTTTTGATAACAAATACAGTAACTGGGAATGGCATCCAACTTTAGGATGCTGAAGCATGTTATCCATAATCCATTCCAGCTCAAAGCAAAAAAGATGTTACTATGATGAGAAATAGCATTAGGGTGCAAACTCACCACTAAATCTTTCCTCCCCAAAGATTACATCTTTTCTTGTTCTTCTTTTTGGCTGTGGAATGTTTAATAAATATATATCTAGAAAGGGAAGGCAACAACTTCAAATAATTCAAACTCTTTACTTAACTCATCCCCCACCTATAACACATATTCAATCCATCATGACCATCTTAGACCCATTTCATTGGTGTATTCTTTTTTAATTATTTTCAAATGGCCTAAAGAAAAGTATAGCAATACAATAATTTAGTCTCAGTATTACTAACACAAATCTGGTCATATGATCAACAGTGTACAACTAATACTGATCATATATCGAAGTCTGCGTTGTTGCCACTGCACACTTAGTTAAGGATTGGTGAGATGAGCTTTGATTCATTGTCAATTAATTCATTGACAAATTCAGAGCATGTTTCCCAATCCTGATTATAACCACCTCATACTTACTTATAATGTTCACACTGAAGGAGCACCAAAGCTAGTCTGGTACTCAAAAGTTGCTTATACCAGGAAAAAAAAAAAGTCTTAGCATTAAGGACCTCTATTTTTCATGGCCCTGTTCTGTATAAACATTCAACTCAAGAAGATGTGCAAAAAGGAGAAAAAAAAATAAAGTCAAATTACATCATAGTTATCAGAGGAAAAAGATGGTACACAAACTCATAAGAAATGACAATCTTTTTTTCTCTTTTACTATAAATACATTTAACAGTTTAGCAGAAACACAAGCTAAATTTAAGATTGTTCACATTTGAAGTTGTATCACTCTCGGCTAATGATAAATAAGGAACAGGTCCTGACAATGGAATTTGGACATAGCAATTTCATCAACAGATCTTTTGAAGACTGGTTTAAAGAAGGGTTAAAACAATGATTTTTTTTAAAGTTCTGAAAAGTCCATCTGTTGTCCAAACTTTGGATTGAAGTCCTTTTTTTTTTTTTTTTTTTTTTTTTTTTTACTTAGAGACAGATATAT